AAAAAAAAAAAAAAAAAAAAAAACCCAAAAACCAGAAAAACCCAGAAAACCTGACTGATTAGGAATAAAAGAGAATAGGAGGAGAAAGATGGAAACAATTTAGATCTCTGTCGTAAGGTCTCATCTCCAAATTGTGTGAAGCCTGTGGTGACTTACATTTCTCTGGGAAAAGAATGGTCACTTTCTTAAGATTCTCAGAGTATTTCCTACCCCTAAAGAGTTTGAAATGTCTGTGGTGTATTAATGAGGATGCCAGGGATGCTGGCCTTCCTTTCACTTTGAAAGCTATTAACCAGACAAATGAGTTAAAATTCTCTGCTGGCCATTGCTCTTTGCCAAGGTAGCAAGTGTATGTAGGGTGTGGTTTCATGCAGGATACCCACAGGCTGCACACTGAGCAAGAGTAGAATGTCCTTGGGGTTCTCCTTTTCCACCAGAGTCTGCTGCCCTGGGCTTTCCCGTGGCATCCTTGAGCTAAAGAAGTGGGCTGCCTTTGAAAATGGCACAGCTTGAGAACTGGGATCCTGGAGGGAAAGTCAGACCTCCTCATTTTAACGGGCAGAGCAAGCCCAGGGTGCTTATCGTCCACTCAGAGTCCCCACTCGTGATGACAGCACCGCCCCAGGCCTGGGGCTGTGCCCTCTGCCTGCGCCAAGTGCCCCAGGTCTGACACAGAAATCTTGACTTCACAGACTTTGAATGTAAGATCACATCTTTAATCCCTCAGCTCCCAAACACAGGCTTTCTTCACGCGGCTGGCAATTATTATAAATTCTAAAAAGGCCAAGAGGGGAAGGCTTCGTGCCCTGGCGTCTGCATAGATGGTGCTCTTAGGAAACAAGATTTTAATCTTCCATATTTAAAAACTGACAGCAATACATACATCTGTTAACTTTCCTCTAATTTAGAGTGTATTATGTACTGCAGGAAGAAATAAGACTGCTCAAGCCATTTATCTTTTACAAATTATAGCAACCATTGTCATGGTAGTCTTATTTAATGATTTCAGATTTTATGTTCACTATCATTCTAATATAATCTTTTTATAAATATATGCAAGATCCCAGAGTCACAAAGAAAGTAATTCTGTTAAGAGCTTAAAGACTGTCATCTGGTTTTGATGTTCTGCTCAGCTTTTTAACTTAACTTCCGGCCTTCTCCTTTCTGTCGTTTCTCCTCTGCCAGTCGCAGCCTGAGCTGGAGTATGGGGGTCCCTATGCCTGGGTGAGACGGTTGCTGCAACTTGCTGTGTCTGTACGGTCTTAACTGTGTGGTGTGACCAGTGACAGCCCACGGCTTTCACTAACCCAGACGGTGCTGTCCGGGAAGCCCAGGCAGTCCAGGTGCAGCACCGTGGGGGAGCTGTGCTCCGTGTGCAGGACACCAGCACCAAGAAAGCCCAGGGCGTCCTTGTCCATCTACCAAATTTCCCCCCGGGACTGTGTCCACAGGGGGGCAGGTCACCCTGCAGGCTGGAGCTGGACAGATGCCTGGCTGCTCAGACACCGCCCCTGAGTACCAGCCCTGAGTCCTGCCCAGGGCAGTAGCTGGACGCGTGGAGATGAAGCTTTCAGGGAACCCGCTTGGGCTAGAAACCCTAAAGCTTCTACATTTCTTTTCAAAGATTAAACACAGTCACCTTACCTAATGAAAACCTCATTGCTTTTTAATCTGTCGCCCTTCAAATTAAATACACTCTCTGACTTTTCTGCGGGGAAAAAACCCTCTGAGAAAGACCTGGTGCTCCAGTAACTAAAACAAGAGCTTTGGATTTCAACCTGAATTGCTGTTCTTATAATTCTGAGTTTCTTGTCTTGTGCTTTCAGAGCACCTGTAAATGTATGCTTAAAAGAAGAAAACTTTAATCTTACCCAGAAGCATGGCTCCCCATGAAGGTGACTTGGTTCTGGGGTTAGCGTTGTAGAGAAGGACTTTCTTAGCTCCAGGTACATTCGGTGCCTCACCTATGACCACTGCTATTTGAAATTATTTGGCAAATTCTCCTTTCTGAAATGTACTTCTGTGATCAAGCTGGTAATTGGCCAGGAGTGCTGTAGCCTGCCTGGCACATTTGATTGATTGGCCGCGTGTCCTGACGGGACCCATGCTGGCTCTGTGAGGCCCAGACCTGCTGGCATAGGAGCCGCAGCCCAGATAACACTCAGGAAGTGCCCGGCTCTGTTATTTCTCTGCAGAATCCTGCACACACCATTAGATTAGAGCATTTGTGACTATAGCTAGCAGTTCTTCTGTTCTTTAGGGAATTAAAAGCATCACTGTCCTGTTCTTAGACTGTCACCTCCTAGCAGATTTGGCCGAAGGGCAGTCTCACTGGGGTGAATGAACATAGATGGTTGGGAACACATTTTGGATTCCAGTTTTCCATGCCATGCTTTTTCAAAAATTAAATCAAATGCATCAAGCATTGCACTCAGAATTTTTGATTTAGCTTTGCTTGTTGGCTTCCTGTCTCTGATGCCTTTTACATACATGTGCCTCGCTGAGTGACTCACATAGAAAAATAGAAGTCTAACAGTGTGGATGGGGAAGCTGGTGGTGACTGCATGGTCCCACAGGACGACACAGTGCTTTGGTAGCTGTGTGGCACCCCTTAGATTCTGGGGGGCGGGTGTCACACGTTGCTGTTGGAGTCATAGGTTTTGCCAGGGCTTTTCTAGCCGTGTTCCTGCATCCCAGAAAATGCTGCTCTGAATGCGTCCTCTGCTGCTGTGTGTGAGGTTGCCCGGGCCTCGTCCTGCGCATGTTCCTGGGGTCCAGGCGGGTTTCCTTCTTCGGGACCCTCAATACCCAGAAGCGCACCAGGTGACCTCTGGCAGCATGTGACAGCAGAGCACACAGCACCAGTACCCCATGAAGCTACACAGGGAGGAGTGTGAGGAAAGAATCCCACGGAGCTAAACTAACCAGATGTCTGAGGCCTGACTTCCGTGCTTCGTGGCCTTTAATCTGAATGCTGTGACAGCTACTCATCCGCCCTTGGAGCCCTGTTTCTGCCCTGTAAAGACAGCCCCGCCCATTAAGTGCACCAGGGAAAGCAGCATGAGGGGTAGTGGGGTTTGGTGGGGTCCGTGAGAAGGTCAGAGCAGGCGCTGTGAGCGGACCCTGTGCACGGCATGCACCCAGGAGCACCTCCCAGGAGAGGCCTGTGGAGTGCCGCGCTCCCTTCCGGTTTGTGTGTGGTACATTTCCCTTCCTCGTGTAGTACAAAGTCTGCAGCACTGTGGTCATTTCCTCCCCAAACTAGTTTTTCTTTTTTGTAGTGCTAGGGATTGAGCATGCTGAGCAAGGTCTCTACCCCTGAGCTCCATCCCCAGCTCTGTTTTTAAAATTGTGAATTTTGAGACAGGGCCTCATTAAGTTGCCTAGTCCAGCCTCAGAACTTGCAGTCCTCCTGCCTCTGCCTCCAGCATAGCTGGGGTTACAGGTGTGCACCAGTGCAGCTGGCTCCAAAACCTGGTTTCTAAAGATACAGCAAGGCAGCAAGATTTAGATCTAAATGTACAAGCCCTTGACACAGTTTCCATATCTAGTAATCTTGTTGTCGAAAGTGCCAGTGGATTGAATAACGCGCCTGAGGTCATACTCGGAGCCTCTGTCTGGATCTGGGCCTCTATGACCCTGGTACCGGTGACCCGTTGGCAGACGCGCGCTTCCTCCTCCCTCCCCGAGCTGGTTCCGTGCCTGGTGCTGCACGGCTCTTACTGTGAACCAGGACGGAAGGCCGAGGGTACTCAGAGGAGCCAGCGCTGGGGCTGAGGGGCCATGGGCTGGGCGGCAGAGGCAAGGGAACCGCAGACACTTCTCCCTTATTCCTGGAGGATTTGGCAGAGGTTGTTAAGTTTGTCTTCTGGGTTCTCTTTGGAAGCCTGAAAGAATGAAAAAGCTAATATGGAGGATGCTCCCCTTGATGAACACTCTTCCCTTGTTGAACTTCAGCCTCCCTCCCTTCCTTCTTAGTAGTGGGGATTGAACCCAGAGTCGTCACACTGAGTTATGCTCCCAGTCCCCCTTTTAGTTTTTTATTTTGAGACAAGATCTCAGGAAGTTGCACAAGCTGGGCTCGAACTTTTGATCCTCTAGCCTCAGCCTAGCTGGGATTCCAGACCTGCACCCCCACACTTGGCTGTGCATTGCATTTCATCACAGACTGAAAGAAAGTGTTTCTGAATCTTAAGAAAGTATTCCATACTGGGCTGTAATTTCTCAGAACTTACCCTGAACCACGGCCTGTAATCTCACGGGCTCACGCCAGTGGCCTGAAACCCAGCCTTTGAAAGCTAGAATTGCCTCAGCACTTTGCTCTAAAACTGGATGAGAAAACTACCAAGGAGAGCAGCTGCCCCAAGTCATGGGCTTCATCCCACAGGGCAACCTTAAGCCAAGGGTACACAGGCTAGCTAGCTAGCAGGCTACACAGCCTGACCTGGCTTTGTCCCTGCTGAGAGGCGGAGACATCTGGGAATGTGGTGGGCCTTGTGCCTCCCCAGACTTGCCCTGCCCATGCTGCCCCCATGCTGTGCTGAGGCGGCCAGCCGCCCCACCCCCACCCCTGCTGTTTTCTTGCTGATTTGTGCTGTGTCTTCGTTTGCATACTGATGTGGGTTTTCTCTTTTCTTCATTGAAACAGACTAATGGTTATGAAGGAGACTTGTACGGATCCCAGCCCCCGAGCAGAAGATCTGGCAGGGTTAGTATGGCCAGTTTGCATGGCACAGCGTTCCCACAGGTTTCTTGAAAGCTTCCCAGAGTCGTTGCTAATTTAGCTTCTTGGTATAAGAGGTCGTCTTGTTCTAGCACAGTGGCATGAAAGATGACTTTCTCAGGATGCCGTCAGACATTCTTAGGATGACAGACATTCTAGGTGCTCCTAACTGGTTGATTGTGTTAAGGATCTCTTAACTTTAAAACTAGATTCACCTGTAAAGTTTCAACCTAGATTAAAGGTGACCCTTTGCTATGTTACCGTGTATGTGATGTACAGGTGAGTTCAGTTGGCATGCACACGCAGGTCTGACATTCCCGCTGTTCTCCAGATCTCTCATTTGTAGTTTTAATGTTTATCTCAATATACACATGCAGGAACCTGCATTTTCCAGAGAGGAGAACTGAATTTTATTGCAGGAATGGAAGGACTAAGGGTGGGAAGCAAGAACAGTGCAGGGGGAGAAGCGGGAAGAGCCTGGATTTTTCAGGGTGTCATTGCCAGGGCTGGGGTCTGGTTAAACTGTTCTAAGGTCTGTTCTAAACCTTCCTCCTCTGTCATTTTTTTCTTTTAGTAATGCATTTCACACCGTTTAATTTTATTTTAATTGTGCTGTGCTAAAGGTAGTAGATGGTGTCCTCAGGTATACTCACTCCTAGGCTCTCTGTTTGCATAGGTGACCTTCATCCCACCCCCGCCCCAGGAGAGCAGCTCCGATTTCCAGAACTGGTCTGGCAGGTCCTGTGTCCTCCTCCTCCTCCTCTGCAAACCTTTACCTCCAGATTTCCAACCCTTCCAGCCTCAAGCCCCCTGCCTGTCCCTCTCACCCACACCTGCTGTGTCTCCCAGGCACAGGGTAGGAGTTCTGCTGTCCTGTACACACTTGTGCTTGACACCATGCAGGTCAGGATCCCCGTGTCACACGCTCCCTGGTGGCCCTGGGCCACTTGGGGGAATTTTAGGGCATAGTTGGCAGCTTTCCCCTTGGTGTGTTGTTTACCATATTTGGTAAGAGTCATGGTCTAGAGCTGTAAATCCTTCTATCTACCTTCTGCTGAGAATCCGTGTTCTCTGGGACGCCCCCAGCGTGGAGTTGTCACACACCCCGGGCAGGGCCAGGCAGGGTGACATCAACCTTTGTCTCATACATATCCTGCATGTTTTTGTCTCTGACTTTGAAGACATTAAGACAGTACAAGTGCGCTTTCCTAGTTAAGATTTACAGAATGCTTCTAGAAATCCCATATACAATATGACCTGGTTGTAACACTGCTCACGGAGTGAGTCTGGCTGTGTATTAATTGAATAAATAATCAAAAAGTGGAATGTTTGAGCACCAGAATAACCGCTAAGCGGTACTGAGGATCATCGGGGCACAAACTGCACCACAGGTGTGAGGCAGGGCATGGAGAGTGCCTGTGGGAAGGGCTTGGGCATGCGCCCTCCTTGGGCGCGCTCCACAGCGCCCCCTTGTGCCTCCACCTGTAATTCTCACGGGTCCGTCAGGGCCACCTGCGGGCGGGGTGGGAGCACAGCGCCCTCCCGAGGACGAGGACGGGTCTCGGCTCCTCCACCCACCTACTTCGGGTGTGCTGGCTGAAGAAGTTTTGCAGCCAGCAGAGCTTTAGTTGTATGAGGGTGTGCAGTAAGGAAAGTGGAGACGGGAACGAGGCGTGGGGTAGATAGCGGCGGGCTGCGCCGAGACGGATGCTGCAGCCAGATGTCTCGCAGCGCTTGCACAACGACCTTGCGCCTTGGGGGCGGGCGTGTTTGGGAATCCCACTGACAGCTGTCTTCTTCCTTGGTGTTCAGAACTCCAGCTACAGCCTGGACAGCATATTATCCGCTTGGTCATCGGCCAGGGAGGAGCAGTTGGTTGGTTTGCATTTAATTCTTTCGCCCTCTCTTCAGAAACTGCAGGTCCCGCAGCATGCAGGCATACGTGCGTGCGCACCGCGTGGGGGGACACTCCCTCCCTCTCCTAATCCCGGTTTGACAGTCTCCCGTGACTGACCCTCATCTTTGCACTCAGACCCTCCCAGTCCTGCGTTTGCACAAGTGTGGGACTTGGGCTTCACTGAAGAACACATTTCTGTGTAGATTTTTAAATTAGAATTAATGAAAGGGACAAAGTAAGAAGACTGCCTCAGCTTTCTTTCCTGGAGAGTCTGTTCACACTCACACTTGGCAGTTTCCCAGGGGTGGGCTGGACTGGAATGAAAACCCTGTCCAGTTCCGGTCTGCACATGGGAGCTCACGTCCGTCTGAAAACTGGACTCCAGTGGCTGAATTTGTCCCTACCGGCTCGTCAGCACGCGAACCCTGAAGTCGCATAGGAAAGATGGGGGCCCTCGTCCTGTACCATATAAGTGGAGGAGTGGACAGGAAGACTGGTCCTAACTTGGTGCCAGGCATGGGGGATAAGTGGGGGGAAGACACCCGGAAAGAGCTAAGATCAAGAGCCAGGCAGTCAGGAGGCCCCGGTGTCCCTCTGTACTCAGTGATGCCAACACCCACTCCCCTCGGAATCAGACGGGGGAAGAAGTCAGAAGCGCACAGGATGCCTCTCCTGCTGCTCATGTAATCTTTGACCTCATTAAAATGTGTCTGGGCGGGCAGCCCCGACCCCATTTCTCCTCAGATCCCCGCTCTGCTGTAGTAGTCTGACCCCATCCCTTCTTCCTTGTCCTGCCCATTCCCCTCCTGCCAGGGGGCTTCCAGGGGTGCTCTGACCCCTTCAGCTCATTTGCCCAAATTCCCACTGCCCCAGCCCCCACAGACCCTTTCTTGGGATGCCCGCCCCCTCCCCCTCCCCCGGAGTTCTCACTGAGCACCCAAGTGGGGGTGAGTCTTCACAATCCTGGGGAGGTTTTTCTGTTTTTCTGGAGAGCACTTGGGCATTCAGAAAACCGGTTCCTCCTGGTTCTTAGTTCAGATGCTTGCCTAAAATAGAAGCGGGTTGCTGGGCCTCGGAGCGTGAATTATCCACGTGGGTGCAGCCTGTGTCTGGCTCCAGTTCACCAAGCAGAAATAGTCCGTCTCCAAAGTCCGTCCACAAGGTCTGACCCCGTGAGGGTGAGGGCCGGGCATTCAGACACAGAGCAGCCGGGATTCTGGGGCAACCCTGCGCTGCCCGACCCCTCCTCCCACCCCAGTGCCTGTCTCTGCCTGCAGTGCAGCCTGCCTAGGTGGAGGACCCGGGCTGTGCCAGAAGCTTTCCCTGTATCCAGCTGGGGCACAGCAGACCCCGGATGAGGCCGCCCAGCTGGCCGCTGGCCACGCCTCTCCCACGGCGGAAGGAAGCGAGGGAGGGAGTGGGCAGGCCTGTGTGTTGCACCAGGACCCCACCGCCTCCCCCACAGGCCCTTGGGTGTGGCTTGTTGGAGGTGCATGAAGGGTGGTGTGCACTTTCTGGTGCCTTCCCGGGGCCGCAGGGGTGGGGGCTTCCTTATGAGATTGGCAGGACACCCGGCAAGGCGACTGGCTTCCCCCAGGAGGACCCTTTGATTTGTGTAAATCATTTCGTCTGGGGAACTGTTAACGCACACAGCTGTAATCCCAGTCTTGGTCTCAGAATCTCTCTGCTCAGGGTACCACACCTGTGAGTCCTGAGTCTGCTCTGGGTAAACGTGCGCCCACAGGGCCAGGCAGGAAAATGGTTCCAAAGGAGAGTTTTATTACGTAAGTAGAGGTTGATATCCCTGCTGATTGCTGGGTTAGTTTTTCCCAATTAGAATTTGGGAAAGGCCCAGAATCTATTTAATTGCTAACAATTAAAATTAAATCTTAAGGTTGATATGGTGACACGCTTGGAAGCCCAGGACCCAGCAGGCTGAGGCAGGAGGATTGCCCTGAGTTCGAGGCTAGCCTGCACTATATACCCTGTCTCAAAAAACCATGTTTTATTTTCTGTCTGTAGATTCAAAAATCCTAACATGGTCTCCTATGGTTTTGCCAGTTACCTGGTCTGATTAGTTCCTTCCCCTGGCCCATAAGTGTTGGCCAGAAAGGGAAATCTGTCTGTTTCCAGTGCCCCAGAACCTTTGAGCGGAAAGGAAGATGTAAGCCTTTCTCCCCGTCTGCCCTCCCATTTTCTCTGACTCTAGGAACTCTCCTGCCAGGACCTCAGGCTCCCCAGTGGCAGCCCTGCCCCCAAGTGGCAGCCTGCCCAGAATGGAAACTGGGTCTGTGCACTCCCCGCCCACACCCCATGTGGCACTTCTGCTGGTGACACTGAGCAGACACTTCAACCTCTTCCATGTGACGTCCACAGAGCCCAGCAGGTGTTTGGATTGGCAACCAGTTTGCTAAGAACTTTTCTCTATCTTAAAAAAAAAAAATACCTGAACTAATTCGGGACCTGATATAGAAGAGTGGACCTTGGGGAAAGGAGAGTTCTGTGCACCGCGTATTTCCAAGAGCTCCAGTCCAGAAAAGGGTCTCGTGGGCCTCTCCACTTCCACTCCTTGTTCCTCATGTGGGGTTTCAGGTTTTGTGCAAAATATGTCCAGGAAGCAGTCTGGAAGGCGTCTGCGCCGTCTGACCCCTGGGCTGGAGAGGACCAGGTTGTTTCTTTGGCTCTCCGTGTTTCCTGTTTTCACAAGACCTGCATTCAGGTCTGGCCCTGGTTGCGTGGCCCTTGTCACTGTGGTGACAGCACTGTCCCATCCAGGGTTTTAGCATCCACCCAGTGCACAGGGAGGTTGAATTGCCCCCTCCTGCATGTACCACATGTGCTGCTGTGTGCCCCGCCCAGCCATGCACCTTCCCCCCTGCTCCTGCGAGCAGCCCCTCTGCGTGTCCGCGTGCCAGTGTTCCGGCCTGGCACCCCTCAAGGGGTTGGGCTGCAGCAGCAGTGCCCGCCTCCAGGTCTCAGCTGTGCCTGTGACTGTCTCTGTCCCCAGAGGGAAAGGCACTCTGTCCACACTGGGTCCTGTCCAGTCATCCTCGGTGTCTGAGGGGCCTGGGTTCCAGTGCTTCCTGTAAATGCTGTTATTTACAGGAACCTAGAACAGTGATGGCAAACCTGTGGCATGCGTGCCACCCTGGGCCATTTGTCTCATTCATTGTGCTGAAAGGTTCGCCGACCCTGTCGTCACTGTCTCACGCTTCCCCTTGTTCCCTTTCCATCCTCCCTGGATGACTTCACAGTGATACCAAATACAGCAGACTTCTACTTGGTGTGCTGAACTGTGGGCGGACAGTCACGGGAGAAAGTGTGACTCCGTGCCCCGGGGAGGCTGGGTGCTGAGAGGGGGACCCTCGAATGCAGCGGGCACCTGCAACACAGAGCCCAGCGCCTTCCCCTCCTCAGGCTCGGAGTCGCAGCTGTGTGGCTGTTGACCCTGCAGTAGTTCTGATCCCCTGCCCTCCCTTTCCTTCAGGACTGTCTGAAAGGAATTGACTAGAAAACAGTGTTAGTTCAGAGTTTATGGGTTTTAACTTTAAAAGTCACCTCCCATTCCCCTTTCCTGTACATGCTGGATTTGCATCCATCTGCTCCCTGAAAACCTCGTGCCAGAACTGGCCTCCCCTTCTCACTGCTGTCAGGACAGCGGGTTGCTGCTCATCCAGGTCTCTGAACACCTGCGTTTGCTTTTGCCCCACAGGCCTCCTCTCTGTGTTTTGTGGCCCGGCCTGCAGGCAGTTACCGGGTGCGTGGCCCACACCCCAGTGCGCATGTACCCCTCTGTCCTCCCACTCCCGGGCCTGCTGTGAACTGCACCTCTTTGTGGAGCTTACGTTCCTCGGGCACTGTCAGTCCTCTGGCCCAGCCTGGGTTTCCCAGCTGCTGGCAGGGCTGTCACACTTTCTGTCTAGTAAGACTCCCATTTGCTAGGATCCTCAGTCCAGATAGAATGAGGGCAGCATGTGCTTTACCTGCTGGCAGAAAGGTGGCTCTCTGGTGCCTCAGCACTCTGAGTGGATCCCACCCCATGTTGCTCTGTTACTCTGGAAACTTCCAGCTTTAAATGCTGGTGCTTAGGCCTTGCAGGAAGCCTCAACCAAGCAATAGAGGAAGACCGCTGCTCAGAAGCCCTGGGTTTCTCTGGGCTGCACACAGACATGTGAGGACAAAGAGCTTCCATGTGTCCTCAGGCTCCGACTCTGGGCAGAGTTTGACATCACCCTTGTGAACTGTAAGCTCCCGTTTCTGTGATAACCACATCGGATTTTCAGGGTAACCCAGCGTTCTGTCCTCTGCTCAGCTACTTGTAGAGTTGTACGCATCAACATGAAAACCTTAACTAACAATGTAATATTTCATTCTGAAGTCACTTAAGGTCGTGTTTTAAACTAAAAGTTTGAGGGTGCTTTGCTCACCTTTAGGGTGCTGGCTTGAGATCTGGACTAACACGTCTCTCCAGAGCATGGACTGCTGTTCAAAACATAGATGTAGAGATGGGATCGGAGATGAAGATGCATGCTGACTCCCAGCAGCTGACACTTGTGCTCGTGCCTGGGTTCTCCGAGGGCAGTGGGGAGGTGTTCTCTGGATGCGTGGTCCTCCTGGTCACTTGCATGCTTCCGGGCCCAGCAGGCAGAAGGTGGCACTGACCTCTGTTTCGGTCGTAGGCTCCTGTGCTCCAGGACAGCAGCATTGGCGGGGCTCGGCGGGGCAGTGCCTGCGGTTCCCTGGCTGTAAGGCACATCCACGTTTCCCATTGACCTTCCTCTCTTGTGCCACCTGCCCACCGCATGGGGTCAGAGCATTGTGGCCCTGACCGAGTGTTCCCGCTCTCTGCTGAGCACAGACAGCACTGACAGGAGTAGCTTCAGACCAATAAGATGGCAGTCTGATGGGTTGCTAGTTATTTTGCCTCTGAATAGTGAAAACAGATGAACAGGCTTAAAGGCTCAGCATGTGACACATGTCCCTTCTTTGTACTCTTTTAGGACCTTTCTGCCCCCTTCAGCACATTTAAAATGACAGGCGGGGCTGTCCTGGTGCAGGCGGCCTGGCTAGACCAGGAACTGGAAATGGAAGGATGCAGTCCCTGGAGGAGGGATTTGGGTTCCAGTACAGGGGCTTCGCACCTTCAAGGCTCTGGCACAAACCCCATAAAGTACGCAAGCCCTCCTTGGGCCAGGATGACATACACACTCGAAATGCTTTTACGCTTTTGCTGTGAAAGTCACCAGCCGCTGGGTGAGGGTGGTTGGGTAGTAGGGATCTTGCCCCGCACCCTGACTCTGAACCCCATCAGGAGAGAGAGAAAGAAGGGGGAACAGAGCAGAAATGGGTCTGCTATTTAAGTAGCTGATCCAGTTTCCTGACTTACTGTGCTGCTTCTCAGCCATCATGGAGAGTCCTAAATTCTCAAAGGAAACCAGGCTGACCTACCGCTTTCTTCACACGGAAGGCTCAGCAGTGTTCAGACTAACATTTAACGACACAGCGTTCACACACTGACCGAGTCCTGTACTGCATAAATAGTCCAGTGTGGTGGGGCCGACTGTGGTAAATATCTTGCCCAGTTCTTAAATGTTTTTGTAAGTCATTATGAAGCCAGTGGGCCAGGCAGAAAGGATGAAATTGTCCTGCCAAGGGCATAAACCCTAAATTGTACTTGTTTCTGCTCGGTAAGGCAGCAGAGAAGCAGCATCTTTCCCTGGGTAAATGCCAGCATTCTGTCCTCTCGTTCAATTTCTGAGCAGCTTCAGTTTTCAGAAGACTTTAACAAGCCAGGTGTGGTAGTGCACACCTGTCATCCCAGCACACAGGAGGCCGAGGCAGGAAGATTGCCATGAGTTCAAGGCCAGCCTAAACTATAGAGCGAGAACCTGTCTCAAACACAACAAGGGTCCCAGTCTACAAGGTAGCTGCGGTATAGGGGAGATGTGACCACAAGCCCACGCTGGGCAGGGGGGTGCTTTATTTTCTCCTTACTAATTCTGTGTCCTGTGGATATTGGGGTGGATCCTTTCTGATCTGGGGCGGGGACATTTACTGGGCTCGTGCTGGGTCGAGCTTCTCACCCTAATCTCTCTTCTGCTCACCCCACTGCTCCCTGGCATGCCCTGTGTGGCACCTCCTGCTGCTGCTTCCTGACCCTGTGCCTGTTTCTGTCCGCACCTCCTGCGGCACCCTGCAGCCCTCGGAGTGCAGCGGCCACCTCAACTCTGGCTCCCGTGCCTCCTCCAGGGCCAGCTCGGCACGCGCCAGCCCGGTGGTAAGTCCGCCTTGTGCCCCGAGCCCCAGGCCACCAGTGCTGCCACCTCCTCCTCTTCTTCCTCCCCTTCCCCTACCCCTTCTCCTCCTCCTCCTCCTTTCATCCCATGCCTTTCTGCCCTATCAAAGCAACCCCTGCCCTCCACGGCCAGCACAGGGTGGAGTCAGAAAGGCCTCTCTGGGTTGTTTTTCAGGTGGAAGCCGGGTGGTGGTACATGCCTGTGGTCTCAGCACATGGGAGGCAGAGGCAGGAGGATCACCATAGATTCGAGAATATCCCATACTGTATTTCAGGGCTCTGGGGAAAGTGGGCCGAATACAGAAGTGCCGTGGTCATAGCACGACGAAGGGTATTGGCAAGCATAGAGCCCAGCTGTGAGGGCCGACTTCCTTGGCCCTGGTCACAGATGTGGTTCCCTGAGGTTTGCAGCTCAGCAGGATGGACTTCAACCATTTGCTTGGAAATGTTGGCAGTTGTCAGACCGGGTGGTTTTTGTGAAATGCCCTGCTGCCGTGAGGACTCAGCTCCCTCCTCCTGCTCCCTGGCCCGGCCGCTCTCGTGCTCCCCTTCTCAGCTCAGCCGCCCCCCAGGGTCTTCATGGCGCCACCTGTGCCAGAGCTTTCTTGGAAGCTGCTTTGGCACTGTCGGAACCCAGATGTTGCAGTACAGTCTTGGCAGGGGACAGGGTGGCCTGGCTGCACCAGAGGCTTGGGTAAAAATAGGTAAGAAGCATATGGAGGGCCACATGCAGAGAAACTGCCCGCTGCTGGCATGTGTTGCGCACCTGTAGTCCCAGCAACCAGGAGGCTGAAGCAGAAGGAGCCCAGCCTGGAAGACTTAGACACTTCTGCAGGATAAAACCTTTTGAAGGGCTGGGGATTAACTCAGTGCAAAGGCCTGGACTCAAGCCCAGTACCAGGAGAAAGAAAAGCAGCTCCCAACCACGGAGAAGCTGAAACATGCCTCCTGCCTCCATCACCCAGCATGGTCCCACCAGTTGCAGTGTGCTGAGCCCAGCCTGGGTCCCGGTCCACAGGGGCAGCTGTGGGGCCGAGTCCGTCGTGGGTCACAGAGCACAACGCTGCCAGCAGAACTCATGCAGACTTTTACTGCCAAGAGGCTCATGCCAGACACAGGCAGCAGCTTCTTCAGGGGAAGAACCCACAGATCCTGGGGGTGGAGCCCTGCCAGTCCAGCCACCTGAGTCCCCAACACCCGGTGTCCTGGGCACCAAGGCTGCACACCACTCACTGCTGCCCAGTAGTCGCATGTCCCCCCTCGATTGCCATCACCTCGCATGCTCCAGGGGATGAGCGTTGGAACCTGAAGACTTCATCCTGGTGCCCATGGGGGCGCCCCAGTGTGGGTGGGAACACCCAGGTCTTCAAGCCTTCTGAGTGCCTGCCTGGCCTCTGTGAGTCTGGCTCCTGCCTGCCCCCTGGAGGCCAGCAGTGAAGAGGACCCACACCTCACAAGCCCAGTGTGCAGAGTGCGTGCACAGTAGCACTCACTCGCTGTAAACTTGAACCCAGATGAGGTTGCCAGCACAGGCCAGAGGCACCGGTGAGGTGCGCCATGCCCTGGAGCCTTTGGTGGCCACCGCAGATTTTTGAGACTCGCTTCCACCAGGCTGGCCTCAGCCTCCCAATAGCCCTCCTGCCTCAGCCTCCAAGTGCTGGGATTACACACGTGCCACCACGCTCCACCTGCTCCTGAGGCAGTGGCTCTGACAGGGAGGTCCACCCACTCCAGAGCTGCCACCTTTCAGGGGGGCAGAATCCAGCCGCAGTGAGTGGGGTGGGCTGCACACTGCCCCATGTGGGCACTCTCAAGCGGGGACCCACAGCTGGCGGAGCTCCAAGCCATCTCTTGGTCTCAGCGCCTGACCAGGCTGGGGCGGCAGAGCTGAGGCCCTCTCTGCCACATTTCCCAGGCCCGCCATCCTCTTGGGCTGTACCACGCAATCCATCCTGTGTCTTTGGCCTGGACTGCGGGTCAGTGGTGTCCATGGTGTCAAGGCAGAGCCCAGGCTCCTGGTCCTGCCTGGGAGAGAGAAGCAGCAGGTGACCAAGGCCAGAGAGCAGCAACCAGGGCCAGTGACCCGCCAGCCTGGCCTCTAGGAGGACACAGAGCAGGAGGTGACAAGACCCAGTTCTAGAGTCAGCTTTCATTCTTCACCCAGGGTGTCTTGACACTCCGAGAAAACAGGGCCCCAAGAGGGCACAGCCAGTTTGTCCCTCCTTGGCTGGACTGGCCCAGGCAACAGCCGCTGCAGTTGACACCGCCTGCAGTGGCCCCAAGAGCTGTCCCTTGTCGGGACTTCATGGGGTATGCGTGGGCACAGGACAGGTCTCTGGGGACAGACAGCAACATCTGGCAAGGGGTGGCCCTCAAGACTCTGCCAGGGCCCAGCCGAGTGTCTCACAAGCATCGGACCAAGGGCAAAGGTGACCAGAGCGAAGGAGATTGTTTCTAGTCCCACTTCAAGAAAATGGATCAAGGCTGAAGCCTGCCAGGCCCAGTACCCCAAGGTTTGGTCCTGGGAAGGCAGAGAGGCGTCAGCCAAGTGGAAGCCACGCCGTCTTCCTGTCTGCAGATGGGCCTCATCCTGGCTCACTCCGGCAGCGTTTCGGAACATCGAGGGTATTCCCGCACAGGGCTGACGTCAGATGTCAGCCCACGCAGGACGATGTCACAGGAGTGATGTAAACCCCGGCTGCACAAGTGTTGGAGAGTTTGGGATGGAGGGACTGAGGGTCCAGGCTCAGGCCACAGGAGAAGCAACGCTGCCACACCCAGCCAGCTGAACACCTGCTGGGAGCAGAGCTGGGACCCAAATCCTAAACACCATTCCTGCTGCCAGAAGCAGAGAAACAAGGTGGTGGTAATGCCCGTGCAGGTCAAGAGGAGCAACCCAGCAACCAAGTAGAAAACTGCATGCAGGAGCGCAAGGCCACACTATGTGGGGTGCTGCAAACATCACTGTGTTTAGAACCAAAACTTCTAGCCCATTGTAGACCCCACTGTCAAACCACCATTTGCTTGGAGATGGAGGTGGCAGTGGTTGTCAGACCCAGGTGGTTTTTACAAATTGAAAAACAGTGACCTTCAGTTGGTGTTCGCTGAGCAGGATTCACAGCTGCTGCTTGGTTTTGAGGGACACAGCAGGGTGCTGCCTTCATGATCCCATCCCCCCACCAGGGTGTGGCATGGCCCATCTGGGAGTTGGGGACCCTAGGGGGCAGGGCCCGTTGGCCTTGTGCAGCACATTCCTGGCTTGCATAGGTGTTGAAGGATGCCTTCCACCTACTCCATGGTGATTGTGAAAGACCAGCGTAGCATTTCCGCAACTCTGTCGGAAGCTGTCCTGTCAATCTGCAGTGTTGGATGCTGCTTGGAAAGCTAACGACCCTTGGAAAGCTAACAGGACACATGGCCGCCCTCCAGTCCCTCCCACTGGGAGTCCCCTTCTGACGGCCGTTCCCTGTCCACCCTCACACACCAGGTCAGCGAGCTTCCCTGACAAGGTACAGAAATCCCTTATCTGTTGGATTTTTTGTGCATTACATTTTAGAGGTAAAGTGTTATGCTTTGTGTCAGAATTAAGCACTATCTGGTTTACCTGCTGCCCCTCGTCAGGGCCAGGCTGCCATCTAGTGGGAGTGGCAAGTGTGACAACTTCGTGGGCCTCATGGGCCCTGGATGCTGCTGGAATGCTGGTGAACTCTGTCTCTTGTTGGGAAAACAGACAGCTTGGGATTTAACATGTGAGAGACAAGTTATCTAAGTGTGTATTCGCTGTGCCTTCTGCTGAGAGCTTCCTGTTTAATTTTGCTGTGTAAGGGTCCTGCTGAGGCCCCATCTGGAAAAGGGAGAGGGGGACCTTAGGATGACATCTCCTGGGTAGGAGATGGGAGAAGCCGGATTCCTACAACCTCCTTTCAGTTTTTAAATGATAAAGCTAATTTTTTTTAGTCATCTTACCCCAATTATGTTATTCCTTTCGTGCTTTAAGTATTTATTATTTGTCCTTTTTCCTCTATAGGTTGAAGAAAGACCTGAAAAAGATTTTACTGAGAAGGTAAGGAATTCCTCTAAGCCTCCATCTTAGCCATTATTGACCTAGAGGGTCCCAGAACTCCTGGGTGAAAATGACAGGAAATAGCGTGCCTGGTGGTAATGCAGTTGTTTGGCATGAGTGGCCCACCCAGTGTGGTGTCACTTCTCCGAGGGGTCCCTGGGGTCACTGTCCTGAATCCCCTAAGACAGCGAGGTCTGACGTGGAGCTGTCACTTCACGTAAACCCGAGCACCAGCATGCCGTGTCCCTGTGGCACAGCCCACTGGTGTGACTGGTCGCATGTGTGTGACACGTGGATACATGGATGAGTACGTTTTCTGGAGTATTTTGAACTCCACACCAGGTACCTGTATGTGACCTTGGACCATCTCCCCACCTAAAAGTCTGTATTTCCACTTGGAACATGCCGTGGACAATTCAAAGTTGTACTTGAGTGGTTTCCCCCTCCCACTGGAGTATGGCAGCTTCTGGAAGCTGATTTAGCAAAGGCACAGTGGCACGGGGCTGTGCCTGCAGTCACACCGATGCTCCCCATTCCAGGGCACCCGCAGCATGCCTGGCCTGTCCGCAGCCACGCTGGCCTCCCTGGGCGGAACCTCCTCCCGGAGGGGAAGCGGAGACACCTCCATCTCTGTGGACACTGAGGCGTCCCTGCGGGAGATCAAGGTAAGGCGCTCTGCTCACTCAGGACTTGGAAGAGCCTCTTGAACAGTCAGTCTATAGATTTTAAAAAAGATGCAATTAACAGAGGAGCTCTGGCTCTTTTTTTCTCAGTCCTGCCTCCCTGAAACATGGCGTCCTCCTAAGCACCAACTCAGGTCCACATCTCCCACAGGAAGTGGCCCTGGCCTGCCCGGGTCCACCAGGCAGATGTGTCTGTCCCCTTGGGGTACTCTGTAGTGACAGCGCATGCTGATGTGACTGGTCGCATGTGTGTGACACGTGGGTACATGGATGGGTATGTTTCCTGGAGTGTTTTGAACTCCACACCAGGTACCTGCGTGTGACCTTGGATCATCTCCCCACCTAAAAGTCTGTATTTCCACTTGGAACATGCTGTGGACAACTCGAAGTTGTGCTTGAGTGGTTTCCCCTCACACTGGAGTATGGCATTGTCCCATCTCTCTTGTGCCTGTGGCACCAAACTATGTGCCAGACAGAGAAAAATGCAGACAGACGTAAGGAGGGCCATTGTATGGGGGAGGAGCAGAAGGCAGAGCCCGGACAGCAGCCTCCAGAGTCCGGTCTGCTCCTACAACAGAACTCCCTCCTCTCACATGGTCACAGAGGAAGCCAGCCTGCACTGGTAACGGCTGAGCAGGTGGGTGCCATTGCCAGGAGAATGGAGAGGGATTTTGAGCATCTCTTGGAGGCTGCCTAGAATTTTTGAGGTTGTTCTCCATGTGATCCTCATATGTTTTTTGAGCAATTGAAGGCAGCAGAACAGGTGTTTTTTTGACTGTTCCTAAAATGCCGCACTCTGTCCCCTGGTCTCCGGCAGCTCCCGCCCATTTCCTTTGTTCCTCTGGGACCCAAAGCCAAGTCCACTGTGATCCTGTCTCTTCTCTTACATCATTGGCACTGTGCATTCGCCCTGCTGCGTCCTCTCTCACCAGACCTTGCCCTCGGCACCAGGATGGTGAATCTGCAGAGTGGCCCTGTGCCTCTCAAAAGCAAGGACAGGTTTGCCGACTTCTCCTGGCATCTGGCTGCAGCATCTTGCACAGAACAACCACAGTGCAAGATGGGTTCCTGCCGGTGCTCTGTACTGTCTTCAGGAGCATTCCTGCCTTTTTCTTTTTTAACTTTGTAAAAGCAGAGTCATACCATGGTACTCGACTGCTTTGAAATTTGTCGAGCTTGGTCCTTGATACATTTTGAAGAGAAAATTTTGTCCTGGTTCTTGTCCGTTTGGTCCTCATGCCCAGGTGAGACTTGCCATCATCAGCTACTGCTGACTATAGACTAGTTTAGACAGAGCCATCTCTCTGGTGCTTGTCACTTGGGGTACTTGCTTCACCTTCCAGAGCCAGTTAACGACGAGTGCCCAGGTACCTCTGTGTACAAGTTACACCTAGGTTTTGTGAAATTGTGTAAATTTAGCAGACATACACTTACATTTTAGCCTTTGCAATGTTGCAATTTATTTTCCTTTAATGCTTGAAAAGAAAATGGGTACTCACGCTGCCCAGATGATAGAAATGGGAAACCTGGGCGTGGGAAAGATTTGGCTGTATGTGACCTCCTCCAGTGTGTGATCTCCCTCTAACAACATCTGCCATTTGCCACTTCCCCAGGAACTCAGTGAGTTAAAGGACCAGATTCAGGACGTAGAAGGCAGATACATTCAGGGACTGAAAGAGATGAAGGTACCAGTGTGTGAAGTGTGGGCTCATGACGCTAATCCCCCTCAGCTAGGAGAGTGTGGCGGGGTTCCCAGGGCAGCTCACCCTGTCCTCCCCCAGTGCAGCCTGGCACTGAAGCTATGGCTCCTTAGGAGGTCACTAACACGTTCCCCAATGTGTGTCCAGTTCGCTGTCCTCCTCCAGGCTGAAAGCTAGTGTCCAGATGCACCGGACACTCACAGAAGGACTTTGGTTCTCTTCACCTCCCTAGTCCTTGTGTACAAACGTGCTCCACCTGTTTGCTTCTCAGAACACCCACTGTCCGATAACACGTGCTTTGGGAAGCTCCCAGTTATTTGCATGCCGTGAGACTTTACTAATGGAGGCAGCTTCTGAACGTGTGTCATCCCAGACTCGAGTGTGCACATGCTCCCGGCTTACTCTACAGTGCTGATGGGGAACAAATTCACCCTCGCCCTAATGGGAAGATGAATGGTTGCCATGGAAATACGGCAGCTGGATGCACCAGGCAGCTTATGGCAGATCTGTTCCTTCCTTCTCACCTCCCCAGAAAGTACCTGGGAAGTAGTCTCAACCCAGTACCAGACACCAAACAGGAGGGGACATAGGCCACATGCCTAGCCGTCCTTCTCAAAATTGTCACTTCTATTTAAAAGGGGAAGTGTTAGAACTCTGGCTTTCAACTCACATCAAAAGGGGAGTCACCAAGCCCACCAGAAACCACTGGACCCAAATGAAATTGTTCCCTAGTTTGGAAGGACAGGACAGGGCCACACAGGTCTCCATGAGCCCCAGCCAAGCCACTCAGCCAGTTTCCTTAGCATTGGGTGGTCTGCGCCTGGTGACTGGCTCTGCCCTGTGTTCTCTTGGCTTTGGCACCTGCTGTTCCAGGACCTGTGACATGTGTGCCACATGAGGGCGCCATGTTTGTCTTGTGGGCCTTGTTCCCTGCTGGCCTCTCCAAGGACTGACCTTTGTCTTTCCAGGACCTGCCCAGTGAGACCTGTGTGCTTGTGTAATGTTCCAATGGGCCAAAAGTCTGAAATTACCGCTAGCTGTTTCCTGGTTCTCGCGCCAGGCAGGGAGGCAGTCACCTGTGGCAGGGTGTGGCCCGCCCTCCTCCTCGTCACCTGCTCTCCCCAGACTTGGTGATTATGTAAGGTGCCCGTTGAGCAGCCCTGATCCCACGGGGGCAGCCTGGCTGCTGAGTCACAAGTCACTGGCCAGCCATATTTCCCAGCGGGAGGATACAGTGCCCTCCCCCGGGCCCCTCGAGAGGGTGTCTACTGTCCTCTGGAATTGCATGTGCTGCCCGTTGTGATTATTCATGCTCAGAACTAAAGTCTACATTCGCCAAAGGTTGAGCTTTTCTAAAGAAAACCGAATTCGTCTTTACTTAGGTTTTCCTAATGCAGTTTCAAGCCCATGACCTCTTTCTGCAGGACTCGCTCGCAGAAGTAGAAGAGAAGTACAAGAAGGCGATGGTTTCCAATGCGCAGCTGGACAATGAGAAGACCAACTTCATGTACCAGGTGGACGCGCTCAAAGACACGCTGCTGGAGCTGGAGGAGGAGCTGGCCGAGTCCCGGCGGCAGTGTGAGCAGAAGAGCAAGGTGACCAGGAGAGGTGGTGGGAAAGTGTGCGTGTGCATGCATGCGTGTCCAAGGGCACCCACGAGCTCTAGAGTGAGGGTACCACAGTCTCCACTGAGTGACTTGAAACGGCGAAGTGCAGAATTCAACAAGTAGAGAACAGTTTTCCTACAGAAGCAGTAGCATTTAGCACAGGAGGCAAATGCATGCCACGAGAAGCCGCGTGCTTGGACAGGCCTCTCAGATGACTCAGATGTCTCCAGTTAATTCATAGTGCAAGTTTTAATTGGTTCACCATCACGGAGAAATACAAGCATCAGATATTATTATTGTTTTGTTTTGTTTTTGGAGACAGGGTCTCACTGTGTGGCCCGGGCTGGCCTCAAACTCACACCGATTCTCCTGCCTCAGCCTCCCAAGTAGTGGGATAACAGGTGTGCACCACCATGCCCCCAGAGTATCAAAGATTTTAAGATAATTATATTCGTGTATTTTCTGCTGATTGGTAAAAGACACAGTTACTCCATTTAATGCCTTCAGCTCCGGATGTAGGGCACATGCTTGTGATCTCAGCACTGAGGACGTATAGGGAGGAGGAGTGCCGTGAGTTCGAGGCCCACCTGGGCTACATAGGGAACCCTGGTCTCAAACAAACAGAAAACAGGGCCAGGGATTTAACTCAGTGGTGCTGTACCTCTCTCGAAAGTGCAAGGTCCCAAGTTTGATCCCCAGTACAAAAAAAAAAATCAACAGCAACAAAACCCAGATACCTCCAGGCCTGCGGAAGGGACGTCCTGTGTGGGCTTTCCAGTAGGACCAGTGGGGCTGCTTCACTGCTCGTTATGTGCTCAGCCCGAGTCCGTACAGAGGCGTGGGACAGCAGACAGGGCTGGGAAGCCTCCACTCAGGTTCTCTGTGAGACACAATGCCAGGACTACTTGTTTTCCCACGTTTTTAGACATGGTTGACTTATCAAACCCCAACAGTGTCCAGTTCTGTAGAGATTCTGAGCAAGATGGACGCTCATGCGTGAATGTTGTCTTTTTCTTCTTTGACTGGCTGTGTCTTCAAAACCCCAAGGGTTAAAACTGGGGTCTGATTAACGACTCAGAGGTCTCCTGCTTGGCTGCCTCCGAGCTGGCCTAGAGGCTGACAGCTTCCGCTCCTGACAGCCAAGCTCTGAGAGCAGGGTGCGTCTGGCCGCACGCTGTGGCCAGCACCATGCTGAGGACACCATCCTCCGGGGCTCTCAGGCAGGGCAGGGCTGGCCAGCCCCGAGGGATGCTCCTGTCAGTGCCAGGAAGGGGCTGCCACCCAGGCGGGGCAGCTGGTCCAGGATAGGTCCGGGACTAAGCTTCAGCAGAGTTAGCTGGGGCCAAGCCGGGGTGGGGGATGTGCCACTGGGACCCCAGGAGCGAGCCTCACAGCGGGAAGGTTGGGCCAGGCCCAGCCCTCCCTGCCATGTCCCAGGAGGAGGCTGATCACCAGGCCAGCTGCGTTAGCCTCAGCCTCCTTTACCCAGCACACGTTCCTGGGCCTGTTTGAAATGGAGGGGTTGTATCGTCCTGTCCTGTCCCGGCCCGGCACCCCTGCATCTCAGGGTGCCCTCCCGGCCATTTGCCTTGGAGGTGGAGCTGACGTGGCTGCAGAGGTCACCGAGTGAGCTACGTTGATACAGCCTGGCTGTTTCCTCCCCAGGAGTTCGAGCGGGAGAGGCATGCGCACAGTGTGCTGCAGTTCCAGTTCGCCGAGGTGAAGGAGGCCCTGCGGCAGAGAGATGCGATGCTGGAGGTGGGGGCTCTTCCCCTGCTCTGGGCCATTTCCTGGGTTCCTGCTGTTTAGTTCAGGCAGCTGTGAAAAATCTCCACAGACTGGGCAACAACACAGAGCTCATTTCCTCACTGCTCTGGAGACCGAAGTCCCGAATCGGGGTCGGGGCCAGGGAGGCCCCTGCCTGGCCTGCAGCTGGGCTCTGCGGGGCAGAGAGGACATGGAATTTCTCATAAGGACAGGAGCTGTACCAGAGCAGGGCACCTGAGGACCCCATTAACCTTGTTAACACCTGAAGGCTGGCTCTCCACACACTGTCACTTTGGAGGTCAGGGCTTCAGCTGGGGACTCGGGGACATAGTTCAGCGCAGGACATTTGGTCGTGTTGTCAGTGATCTTAAAACAGCATTTACCCTGATGCGCCAGGCCTTGCTCAGAGCAGCAGCTCTCTCCTTGTCTCTGTAATGGTCCCGCGTGTGCCACTCTGAGAGAGGCCCAGTGTGTCACCTTGCGTGGTGAAGGGATCTTGCAGATGGGACTAAATTCAAGACCTCCAGAGAACGACAGTCCCCTGGACCAGCTGGGGGCCTGATGTCATCACAGGGTCCCCATAAGGGGAAGCCAAGTTGAGGGCGGAAGAAGGGCTGAAGCCAGGGAGTGGAGGCAAGAAGGTCTGGAAGGTGGGCAAGGTGAGGAAACAGCCTTCCCCAGGCTCCCCAGGAAGGACCAGGCCTGCTCTCACCCCATTTGTAGCCTCTGAGACTCACTGAACTTCCCTTCTCCAGAACTGTAAGAAAATAAATTTGTGTTGGTCCAAGCCACTGAATTTGTGGCCATTTGTGATTGTCAGCAGGAAATGGAAGTAGTCTGACAACGGTCCCAGGCGGCACACAGCATCACCGTCACCTACACTCCTTCAGGGCTCTTGGGTTCGCACAGTGGCAGGGTCACCCGACTGCACCCCCTAGTGAGGCAGCACATGACTTACAGGGTTTGGGCAAGAATGTCACCAAGCAGCTTTTCTCTCTGTGTTTCTGGAAGCTGAGAGGCGGGAGGGAAAACAACCCCAGTGTGCAGTGGATTCAGGGTCGGTGAGGTGCCATGGTCCTTCCTGTCCACTGTCCAAGCGAGCATTCAGCTCGCCTCATGCTGGCTGTTCTCTCCTGCTTAACCCTTTACCTGCTTTCTCTCCATCTGTTCCTTTCTTCAGGAAATCCGACAGCTACAGCAGAAACAGGCGAGTTATATCAGGGAGATTTCTGATCTTCAGGAAACAATAGAGTGGAAAGACAAAAAGATAGGGGTAGGATTCTCAAGTCTCCAAAACCCTACTCCTGTGGCAAGCTGCTTCGTGAATGGGGTTCTTTTGGTCTGGGCTTCGCAGCAGTGCTTGTGTGGGCATGCATGTAGCCCCGACAGCAGTTCCCGCTCTGGTGGGCACACCTACAGCCCTTCGAGGGTCTGTGCGTCCAAGCAGCATGGACAGGCTTCCCTGAATTCCCTGCCCCAGTTTTTTCTCAGAGGGGTTGAGGAAGGGGCAGGGGCTGTGCCTCCACGTTCCCACCCAGGAATCGCCACATGGGCAGAGGCAAAGTGACCCTCCCACATTTGGGAGTGACAGGCAGGAGGAAAGGGACCCTTTCACTGCCGATTCATAATGACAGATGTGTCTAAAGAATGGCAGCCTGTGTGACAGCCCTGCCAGGGGTCTAAAGGTGCCACATCACCACGCCGGTGGCTCCGCCCTGACAGGGTCACGCCACTGGGCTGGGATTGTGCATGCACCTTCCTGCACTCTGGCCACTGAGGTTTGTGTGTGACAACAAATGCCTATAAAACGGTTGTCATTCTGGAGGTCTCTTTAGTGTTCCTTTTTGTTCTTTTTGGGGTTGCTTGTTTTTGTTTTTGAGACGGTCCTGCTATTCCAGGCTGGCCTTAAAACTCATGGCAGGCTCCTTCCTGCCTCGGCCTCCTGAGAGCTGGAATCACAGGTGTGCGCCACCACGCCCAGCTCCTATTTGTACTGTATCTGGCCACCATTTAAGTGGTGTGTCACTCCTGCTAACTCTCCAGTACCACAAACCAAGCCAGACAGCGAGGTGGTGACTTTGTCTGCTGGGTCTCACAGAACCCAGGGGCTTGGGCTTGGAAAGGCTGCTATTTCCCGGGGTGGGTCATGGCGCCCACATGAGCCACTGCCCGCTCGTGCCCTGTTTGTGTCTCAAGCACCTGTCAGTGTCTGGGACGCAGCCTCCGGCCCCTGTGCCAAGTAGCCTCTCCACTCTGTGACTCTCCTTTCTCTTTGCTTGCTGCACACACAGGCTCTAGAGAGGCAGAAAGAGTTCTTTGACTCCGTAAGGAGTGAGCGCGATGGCCTTAGAGAAGAAGTAGTGAAGCTGAAAGAGGAGTTCAAGGTAGGAAGCCAGAGCACCACCGTGCCGGTGGCCACAGGCCGGCCGTTAGTGGCTCCCGTCCCAGGCCACGTGGCACACCCGTGCCGCCCAGGCTCGTGCCCCTGCCCTGGGCTGTGTATAGGCGGGGCTCTTCTGTGAAGCAGCCAAGAGCCCCGCGCTGAGTTTCTGGCAGCTCCTGAGATTCCCCCACCCTCAGAGGCAAGGCTTCTCCAGCTCTGTATGCAGTGAAAGCCCCTCAGGCACCCCTGCAGTGCAGAGGTGCACAGCCCTGCAGAGCCCTGAGTGCTTATATCTGTTCCACATGCCTGGCCAGAGCAGAGCAGCCCAGGCTGTGTGTACCCACGAGGAGGCCGGGCATCGGGACAGAGCCGGGGGCTGCGCAGTGGACGGTAGGGCGGTCCTGGAGCCGGATTGCAGCAGGTCTGCATACGCGTGAGCACAGTGTTTCCCCTCCACCCACACCACGCATCCTGCCGCTCTCGACTCTTTCTTTAAGCTACATTTGGTTTCTTCCCTCCGGAACCTGTGCATACATCCTGTCTCTGTCTCCCTCTTCAGAGCACACAGCCAGGGCCTTAGCCACAGTGGTTGCCTGGTGCTGCCCTCTGTGACAGCCTGCAGGCCCCGCCCCGGTGGGAAGGATGCCTATGAGAGTCTGTCCCCAGATCAGGCCATGGCTGCAGATGCAGGGTGCTAACATATTCATAGCTATGGTCCCTGGTCTCCCCTGTCTGGGGAGTTATCCGCTACTGCAAGATAAACAGCTTTGCTTTCTATAGTGATTAGTAAAACTGTTTTACCAGTAAATCAAGTATTACAATGAGCCTGTTTTCCCCCCCAGAAACACGGAATAATCCTAAATTCAGAAGTAGCTCCCAACGGAGAAACTGAAGACACACTAAATAACCTTGCCCCAGCCCCTACCAAGATGACAAAGGAGGAGTTGAGTGCCCTCATGTCACCTGGGGATGGGACACGGGGTGAGTATGTCTTTCTTTTTGGTCCTGTGGTCTTTCTGGCCATCACTAGTCCACCTTCCATGCATTGTCAGAGCCTCAGTCTCCATCACTGATCTTTAACCGTCGCCAGCATGGCCTGCTCCGTCACATGGCAGCGAGCTCCTGCCTGGCGCTGTGATCACCACACGTGTTGCCTGGCATGTGTCTGTCTAGTGCTCACACCAACGGCTCAAGTACTCGTCTCTTTGCTTTTCGGAGCTACCAAATGGAGCAGTTTCAAACTAAGTGACAGTGTAGAGAGAACCACTTGGTTCTGCTTACATGTGTGCCAAGAGCAGCCTTTGAGCGTCCCTGGGTTAGAACGGGTGTGCCAGCCGGGCCCTCGCCCAGGTGCTGGTGCTGGTGGCAGATGGCCATGGGGGCGCCTCCCAGCAGGAGGGGGGTACCCCTGCCCCTGTGTGAGGGGGTCCTATATGTGTGCTTTGATTCTGCTTCTGCAAGAGTGAAGAGTTGGGGAGCCCAGCAGATCATGGGAGTGTGTCACGATGTGTTGGGATCCACTGGTTAGCATTTGTCACATCTGCTTTGGGGTGACAGATTCTGGCACACAGCCCAGCACTGTGGCCCCCAGAAAAGCCTGTTTGTCCCGGTGACCAGCTACTTTCCAGCTTCTTATGGCGGGGTTGGAGCAGAGTGGCCTTGACTCTGAGTTAGGAGCTTTTATCTGGCTCCTCTTATGGATACAGATGTAGAAAGCAGCAGGCCTCAGCTTCAATCCTCGGGGCTTCCCAGAAGCAGCCTCCTCACCTTTATGTCTGCTAAGGAGACACAGCTTTTGTAACTATGTAAAAGTTGTTGGGGAAATGAGGTGAATTAATGCCTCTGTGAGTGATCCCTGAGGAGCTAGGGATTGGATCATGTAGCTCTTGTCAAAATACACATTTTACAGGTCTCTCATAACCCTTTTGAGATGTTTAAAGGACCATAAGGCCCAGATCTGTGAGTACTTTCCAAGTGTCTCTGACCATAGACTCTGCCAGGACGTCCCATATGTGTGCTGATTTTTAATTTGTGTGCTTCACCGGACATGCGATGTAGAGATGGCTGAAGGGTAAAGTAAACGTGGCAGGAGTGTGGGCATCACCCCATTTCCCGGGTTACACCTCAGCCACGGGACCCCTGAGTTTTGATCTCCAGGCTCTGACTCCAGCCATAGGGTTTTGTTTTATTCCTTTGGAGAATCCCACATAAACCTGCTCATTCCAGACCAGCGACGCGCTTGTCACTGGTGGGTGATCTGTTGGGTTGCATGGTCACCTTGGTCTGAAGCACTGCTTCCTGCTGGGACCTTGCCACCCCCTGGAGCAGACACAGGACACCCGGCCAGCAGGCGGTGCTCCTAGCAGAACACAGATTCCTTCTGCCTTTTGTGAGCTACTCCCAAAGCATCTTTCTTGAGGCTGACTTTGAGGCTGAGTTTCTAAAAGTAAACAAAGTGTTCTTTGTCAAAAGTTATTTGCAGTCCTCAGTTAGGACCGGGTAGCATCCAGAGAGTCTTGAATTGTGTGAGTTGTCAAGGTGGTGCTAGAAAGGAGAATGGGAAAGTGGGTCGGAAGTCTCCTGAAGCCTGAAGCACATTCTTTTGAATTGTTTGGCTGCCTAGTCCAAGCTCTTTGATCTGTTCAGGTGTAACTTCACCTGTACAGATGGGTTCATACTCACAGTCCAGCGGCCATGCTGCCTTGGAGACGGAGGCAAAACCACACTAATGCAGTTACTACTTTGCCACACAGACATGGCAAGGCTTCTGTGGCGTGAGATTCTCTTGATGACTCAAGCGTGCACGCTCTCTCTCTCTCTCTCTCTCTGTCTCTCTCTCTCTCTCTCCCTCTCAGTCTCAGAACAGGGAGGGTGGGAGTCTGCACTTGCCTTTACATTGTAACATATATTAAGTGGTCACTGCCTCCTGGGGTCCCTTCAATTCTCTCAATGGTCTTTTAGGAAGAGCCAAAGAAGTGGAGGTGGAAAATGAAATTGTGGAGAATATGGGGAAAAGAGAAATCTTGCAGAACACTGAGCAAGAACAACACAAAGAGGACACAGTAAAAGATGGTGTGGACATAGAGGGATCATGTCCTGGTGAATACTCCAAGGCCCAGGAACTGTCCAAAAACTTAGCAAATGCTGAATGTGAGGAGCAAGTCCAAAGCCAAAGTCCAGACAGCCACGAAACTGCAGAGCAGGTTGGGTCACAGGAAGTCCCAGACGTGCCAGCCGAGTGGACGGGAGCATCCCTGGGGCACCCCGAGTGTCCAGAGGATTCAGGCAGTGAGGCCTCAGGTCCCGTGCATGGGCTGGACACCTGTAATGCTTTGGATGTCTTAGACCAAAGTGAAGAATCTGTGGGGAGGAGGCAGGACCAAGAAAACCAAGACTGGGAAACGGACATGGAAGAGCTTCACCGGAAACCCTGTCAGGGGCCTGAAGCGGAGCCGGCGAGCAGTGCAGATCCCAGGGCGCCAGGCGGGGGCCACACCCAGGAGGAGGCAGAGCCAGGGGGAGCTGCAGCTGGGGCCCCTGGGAGTGATCCTGAGCGTGGCCTGGTTGATGAGCTGGACTCCAGCACAAGGCGCGGCTCAGAGAAGGAGCTGGCTGACCAGGAAGCAGCTGAGCCTGGGGAGGCCACCTGTCGGAGTGCAAGAGTGGGCGGGGAGGACAGCATGGAGGAGGAGGGAGATGGGGACACGCAGGCCGAGAAACCAGTCCCGACAGAAGCCCAGCCCATGCCTGGGGCTCCCACAGCCAAGAGCAGCCTAGAGGAAGCCCCGGGTCCAGGGAGGGCAAACACCAACCGTGAACCCAGTGAAAGAAAAAGTGATCACCAGGCAGAGGGATCAGAGTCATCCCAGAAGAAGTCAAAGAATAAGAAAAAGAAAAATAAGAAGAAAAAGTCACCCATGTCCGTAGAAAGCCTGGAAGATATTAAGAAAGAGCTGACCTATCCAGACACAGACAGAGGCGAAGTTCAGGAGGAGCAGGGACACCTCGCTGGAGCAGCACAGGAGGAGGTGGCCGGAAATAGAACACAGAAAATCACAGCAGAAAGTGGTGGATGTGATGATTGTCCTGAGGCAGAGTTGGACGGAAAATTTAACCAAGAGGATGACAGCGTGAAAACAGAGGTAGGGACGGAGGAAGCTCTGGGCGACACCATGGATTTGGCGGGGAATACCATCCCATCATCAGGCACACATGATAGCGATGAAGAATTAGGGGAAGGTGTCACAGACGGTGTCGCTTCAGAGCCGGAGGACCCGGATGGGACCAGCAGCTCCTTGCTGCAAAATGAAAGCCTCTCAGCAGCCGTTGAGGGTACCTGTCAGACAGGAAGTCCCAAGGAAGACACAGGCAGCGTCGGCCTAGAAACGGCTGGCTTTTCTGTGCCACACGGAGAGCTGGGGGACTTGGGCTCAGAAAGTGGAGGCCCCACAAAAGAAGGGAATGAGAAGAGCAAGGGCAAAGAGGATTGCACTATGTCCTAAGGCGGGCAAGCGGGCGCGGGCCAGGAATGCTGCCACTGACCTGCCACTCCTAGGAGGTTCTGAGTAGGTACAGACTGCTGCCATCGGCTTCCTGTGCACCGCCCAGATCAGACCAAAAAGCGCAACTGTTCCCAGTGTTTCCAGCGGTATGGGTAACGGAAACCTGCTCTGTGTTGCCCTAGCACTTGCCTGAGACAAATCTGAATGTGGGTTTTCTTGACCAAAAGCATCCAGGCGACCAAACAGCATTCTTAGATTTCTGCTTTACGAAGATTATGGATATTTAAACTAATATATCTCATTCAAATACATATGTATTTTCCTCTTTGATTATAACGTGCATGTTATAACCTGTATGGTATTTTACTTGAAGGAGATGAATGGTCAAATGGCATATAGGTCACTGAGTGATAAGATTTGCACCTTTAGGACAATAATTATCATTTTAGGGGTAACAAATAAGTATCTGAAAGCACTAGGGAGATCTCATTTGCCATTACCACATTGAAGTATTTTATTTCATTAAAATACTTTTGGATCTGCTGATCAACAATACCTGAATTTATTTTGTAAAAGATTTTGCCTTCAGATGATGATGTACCAAATTCATTTTATACAAAGATTTTCAAAAATATTTTCTGAAATGTTTTTCTACAGTCGACATGATGAGATTGTACTTACTACTGTAGTATTTTGGTGGGGGGAGTCAGAGTTTTTTAAATCCTTGAAATTCTTTCTCTTTGTGTGTCTAATTGTTAGAAGAACAATACAAAAGTTACTTATTCATGTGGAAGCTACTTATTAGTCTATCATGGGATATTTTAAACAGTCAAATCACTTTTGTTATTTGGGTATAAATGTATTTGTTGTTTCTCGGTATATTCTGATTAGAAAATTCTTGTTTTGTTCTGCTAAAGGAATATATATTTTCTATATAAAGGAACTTTAAAAATAACTGTAAAGTTGGATGAAAAGTCATGATAATGTAAAGTTGTAAGGAAATGTACATTGTGAATGCTGGTGACATTCGATGGGCGATGCTACTTCCTGTGACTGTTACAAGATGCAATTGAGTGCAGAGACCAAACTCTCAGGAAATCTGAGGCTGACCTAGTGTTGTAGAGCGGAAATAAAAGCATTCCATAATGTCTAAGCCTGTGGCTCCCATCTTTGGGCTTCTTGACTCTGGACCTGGCCTGTGTCACAGGGTCCCCTCACAGTGGTACCCTCCTGTGTGGACTCCCAGCCAGGGAGTGGGCACTCCCAACGCCCTCCCAGTGACACTTGGATTCCCTCCCGCCCGCCTGTCCTTGGGCCTCCAAGAAGACCTCTCACGTCACCTCCCATGCCCCCTGGAGTCCCCGGGTGCCACCCCAGCTGAGGAGGGCCTCGGTCCCGATGCTCACCTGAAATGTGCCACCACTCAACGCAGTCGGGAGGGTCTGACAGAGGCATGAAAAGACCGATTTTCCTGCTGCTCTGGGGTCTTGAAGAAGCAGGTGGCGATGGCACATCCTACCGACTGGGCTGTGGAAACAGCAAGCTCTGGGGCTGCTGGCGCCCAGGCCGGGCCCACAGGACTCCAGTGGGAGTCTGCACTACCGTGCACATCGTGAAGCAGCTCTGTGCCCACTTTTAGAGGCCCCAGGGGAAACAACCCAAACACCAGCATCCCTGATGCAACACGTCAAACCCTCTCAGCTCTCTGCTTGCTGTTCCTTGGGTGCCCCGGCACATCACGCTGGCATCACGGTCATTCAGCCAGTCTCTCAGGTGCTCCTCAGGACTTCTGACCCCTGTGTGAGCACCATGCTGGGGATCAATGGCTGGGACCCTGCTGTGTGCTGGGAGTACCCGACTGAGAATCAGGACGGAGAACAAAGAATGAAAAAGCGTGTCCAAACACCAGTACCGTTTCTTGTTGTTTTGGGACAGGGTCTCCCTGTGTAGCTCAGGCTCCCTTGAACTGACTGTGTAGCCCAGGCTGACCTCATACTTGCAGTGATCCCCCAAGTGCTGGGATTACAGACATATGGCCCACGCCAGGCTTCATTTCTTGACCATTTGAGAGCCTTCCTGTGAATGAACATCAGCCACACGACCCTGTGACAGTGACACACCACAGCCCAGCACTGTAGCTGGGAGTCACAGAAATGGTGACCTTAGGTTCCTCGGTTTCAGAAGGTGTGGAAATTCCACCAGGACCCTGGAATGCTACCTAGGGGGGCCAGGAGGGCTGGAAGGTCCTGTGTCCCCTGCAGGTCCCTTCTGCAGGAGACCACAGCATGCAGGGACCAACAGGGCCACTGAGGCCCAGGACCACAACAGGAAGACCTGTCCCAAATATCATCCAGGGCCCGGGGGAGAGGGAGGTGTGTGTGAGTGTGTGTGAGAGATCAGAATACGTGTTCAGTGTGATCACTGTGTGTGTATATATACAGAAAACTGTTTGGGGGGAGGAAAGCCCTTTTTCTGTTTGTCCTTCCTCAAGTACTGTTTCTCTTTTATTTTTCTTTAAATTTTATTGATGAGCAATTTGTTGGGGTTTTTTAATGAGCAATTTGCATGCTAAGATACATTTGCTTTCAACATAGAGTTTGGTTTCTTTTTTAATTTTCACTTTTACCATTCCTACCATGTCTTCAGTACATGGTGGTTCCGTCCTTGTGGGTAGCTGGTGCGTAGACCTCGCGCGTTTTCATTCTTTTCACGTCCTCTTCCCCACCGCTCCCTCCATCTCCTGGTCCCCTTTCCATTTGCAAAACATTCTCCCCATTTCCTAGTATCTGTCTTTCATTTGACTCTTTATTTGTAGTTAGGTTTCATAGTCTCAAAGTGGGAGAGCCAGCGACTGACGGAGGAGCCCCACAGACAGAGGAAAGAGGTGTCTGGACTGCCCGGTTCTGCCTTTTGTGGAAGGGGGCACCTTCAGCAGGGACTAGGGGGTGGGGCTGACCTGCGAATTCACACACACACACACACACACACACACACACACACACACACACTCTTTGGACTGGGGGCCCTAGGGCTGAGTGAGAAGCTGTCTCAGAAGCGCATGGTTGTAAGCAGGCCTGCACCTACCTACCAGGCCTTGCTTTGTCTCTGAAATGGGACCATGCCTCCACCTGCCTTTTAGAGTTGCAAGCAGGGTCAGATGGGGGCTGCTGTCCGCCGCCTGCACAGGTGAGCTGGTGGGGTACAGGTGGAAGGAGGCAGCTGAGCAGGGCTCAGCCTCCCACCCTGGGGGTGTGGCTGCCCCAGGCCCATGCTAGAGGCCTTTCCTCTCTGCCAGCCACTTCGTGGGGCTCTGAGTCTCATGCCAGAAAGTTTGCTGGAATTTAATTTATAAGAAACAGATCTTTCTTTCAGATGTCACCTAGATACTTGCAGTAGCCAGCTGATGTTAATTCCCTGTATAAAGGAAGCCTGTCCATGGCTGGGCGTCACAGTGTGAGTGGCAGTGTTTGCTACCCTTGTTCAGTGCCACGCTGTCAGTGGCAACTGTTTACCCGCAGTCAGCCTCGCTCATCTTAAAGCCATGAGCAGCAACACTCTCACTCCTGCTTTCTCCGTATCAAATAATTTGCTTCTTTTCTTCCATTTTCTTAAAGTTGTTTAGTTTGTGCTTTCCTCTTCAGTTCTGCTTTAAAATGTATCTTCTTTAAAAATTCCACTTCTCCCTATTTTTTCATATTCTTACTGCAGACCAGATTATCTTTTTCCCCTCACCAGCTCTATTATATTGTAACATTTATTTTCTATTATTTTTCTAGGGTGTTTGAAATCTTCTAAAAAAAGAATAAAGGTTGCAGTAGCTAGAGACATGAGCTTTGAGATTATGTTCTGATGTATTCAGTGTCTTCTTGTAATGCTTAGAGTGTTTATATGTAGGAGTATAAAATATAGAAGGTTAAAAGTCATACTGGCTGAAAGAGCTGGGTTTATTAACCCCATTCCACTTGAGGTTTTTGTTGTTTTTGTTTGTTTCATTGTTGGGTGGGCTTTCAGAATAAAAGAACGCATGCAAATTGAAACAGGACTTCAGAAGATCATAAGTTTATTTTATATTCTGCTTAAGATTTGCTGCTGTCTCATTTTGTTATACTGTACCTTTCAAAATCACAACTTAGGGTCTGGAAAAACAACTCAAGAAATCATGTAACTCAGATTAGGATGTGGCTGGATGATTTTAAAAATGAGAACAAGCATGGGTTTTCTATGCCTCGCTTTCCAGGTCCATTGTGTACTCTCTAAGAACTTGGAGCTCGGGGATCCCTCGGGATCACTTGGCTCGGGAGCCGGGGTCTCTCTTGGAAGGGGGCGGCATCTAGATCTGGGAACCCATACAGCACAGTAGTCAGGTGCCCCTGAGGCCAGGCTGAGAGGCCCTAAGGAGGTTACTGACTCCCCCAGGAGGAAAGGTGCAAGGACAGCCACCCGGTGGGCCCTGGCTGGTGCGAACCTGTCGGGAACAGGGCCTGCCTTTGTGGGCTTCGTGGGGAATGCCTCGGCCTCCCCATCATCCGTCATCCTGAATTTGCCTTTAAATTGGTGCAGACCTTCCCCACACCTCTGTTCCCCTCTGAATCCAAAGACTGGAGCACTTGATGTTTCCTCTGACTCATAGAAGTTTATGTACAAGTTGTGATGGAAAAATATGGTGAATGTTCGATTTCTTAAAATGTATTACAATGCTGGGGATTTAGCTCAGTGGTTCCGGCACCTGCCTCACAAGCACAAGGGCTTGAGTTCAATCCCCGGTACAAAATAAAAAAATGTATTACAATAAAAGGCACAGAACTACAAATCCCTCTGAAAGCCTCCTCCTTTCTGCAAAGACACTCATCCCATCATTTTTGCCACTTTCTGCAGCAGCTCTGGAGCGCTCTTTTCTGTCTTTAGTTGCGCTGTCATGGCTGCCTCGATGTCCTAAATTGATTCAGAACATTTCCCTTCAAGGTTACTTTGGCTTTGGGGAAGAGCCAGAAGTCACATGGTGTCCTACAGGTGAAGAGGTGGATGAGGACCCTGCCATGATTTTAGCAGCCTGCCTTTCCGCTGGGTGGTGCTTGGCTGCAGCACACACTGTATATTCGATTGTCCCTTGCAGAGACTCTCAGGAAAGAGGGCTCCAGAACTGCACCAGACCGTGCTGAGAACAGTGGGATGAGTGTGTGCAAAGCCAGGGGAGTATTTCAGGGAGATCAGTGACGGTGTCTTTTACTGTACTACGTTGTTTTAACGTAAACACTCACTGTACATTTTGATGGCCCTGTGTTTGTGCACCCTGATATGCCAGGGGTGAAGGAGGCTCAGAAGACAAAGCGTTACTGCATTTTCTTTACAAGAGTGGCAGCGTTTGGTAACTGGGTTGACAGACATGTAGTCAGCAGACTCATGATTTGTAAACGTGTTGTCAAAACTCTGACCCCCATGATTCTGAGAAATGAGAAGGTGAGAACACCCAGGTCATAAGGTCAGAAGGGAAGGCTATTCAAAATGATGGTGCTAGCCAGGCGTAGCAGCACAGGCCTGCATCCCAGCACTGTGGGAGGCAGAGGCAGGAGGATCACAGGTTCGAGCCCAGCCCAGACTAGGATTACAGCTCAGTTGGGAGGCGCTGGGGATTGTCTGATGCAGGCCGATGCTCCTCGCCCTGGTTCTCGGTGCGATTGTGCATTGCTAACCATGTTAAACCATGAAGCTCTGAGCTCTTGTGTTGCAGTGTGGTTTGCCTAGCGTTCTTGCATGCTAACTAGTAGAAGATTAGCTGTTTGCATGAGCCGGAAGCCGCTCCCGATGAAGCATGTGGGGGAGGCTGCGCCACCCCAGCTGAGTCCTCGCGTCCTGTCTGTGGCCTCATTCACCATGGTACGTGTGTAATACCTTCATCATTCATTCCACTAACCCAGAGCTGCCCGTGCCCTGCAGATTCACCCGAACCCGTGTCTTTCTCATTTCTTCAGATATTAGGTTGAAAAAGCTCGTCAACGAACGGGAGTGCTTATTGGAACAGGTAATGAATGATCTTTTCATTATCCTCTGAGTTCCTTTTGGGGAGGGGATGTGACAGGGTCTCACTGTGTATCCAGGCTGGCCTTAGACTTGCTGCGTAGCTCAGGCTTTCAGCAGGCCTCTGCTTCAGCCTCCTGAGTGCCGGAATCACAGCCATGCACCATCGCCCCCAGATTTCCCTGCATTCTTGAACAGGGAAACAACAAGCCTTCCCGTTTTACTTCCTCCTGACTCTGAAAACCCCTACACACCACATCTGAAAGGAGCATTAAGTCCATGGGCACTGTGTCCAAACAGAACGTCACCAGTCCAAGAGGGTTAGTGGGGACATCCACAAGACGCAAAGCCTTGGGTCTGAATTTTGGACCTCGGGGATTGCTGCTTAAAGAAGTACAGCTGTGGTGCCCGCGGTGAACCATGAGGGCCGGGACAGGGCCAGGTCATCACCCACTTGCCCTCAGCCATCAGTTCCCCTCGCAGGGGTCTCCATTGCTGATCAGAGTTATTCCAGTTGTGATTTATCCTCATTGCTGTCTCCGACCTCAAGAAATACTAAACATTTACTCTATTTGATCTTTCTTATATGCAGGATAGCTATTAAATTATTCCACAACCATCTCCTAAGGAAATTCTGTTCCTCTGATTTTCCCTCATAAGCCTAATCAGACAGATTTGCCTTGCTTTTTACAGCTCTGTGAAACTGTCTTGCAAAATCAAACAAAACATTGAAGGTGGTGGAAGTAGTCTCAGAGGCCTGTTTTTCTTTGTTGGTACTGGGGATCAAACTCAGGACCTTGCTCTTGCGAGGCAGGCAGCAGAACCACTGAGCTAAACCCCCAGCCATCAAGGGTCTACTTTTAAAAACACACCCCCAGGCCAGGGATTTAGCTCAGTGGTTCCACCACCTGCCTTGTAAGCACAAGGTCCCTAGTTCAATCCCCAGTACCTAAATAAATAAAACTAAAACATACATCCAGGCCAAGGGCAATGCTTGGTAGTAGGGCACTTGCCTAGCAGGTGGGAGGCCCTCGGTTTGATTCCCTGCCCCACAGAAAATAAAAATAAAGTATGTTTTTTAAAACGTACTAGTTACAGGCCAGGGACATAGCTCAGCAGTGCCGCGGGGTCCCAAGTTGGATCCCTGGTACTGAAGAAAAAAAGTACTAGTTGTAATTCTGTATTGTTTCAAGTGAAAAAACTACAGTTTGGGGGATGTGTGATTCAGCTCTCCTGCACCCAGAAGTCTCCAGAGGGCCCTTTCTCCTCTGTGAATGAAGCCCAGGTCCATGGCACACTGGCTCACCAACTCTTAGTTAACATTTCAGGTATTTGACGTAGCATCTCCTCCTGACTCCCAGGGGGACTTCATCTTTCCAAATCACTTCTCACTGGGCAGGTGGCACACAGCTGTTACCTGAACTACTCAAAGAGGCTGAGGTGGCAGGATCGCAAGTTCAAGGCCAGGCTGGACCACTTAGTGAGATCCAGAGTTGCTTAGTGAGTCTCAGAGTAATTTAAAAGGGAGGATGTGTTGGGATCATAGCTTGCCTAGCATGCTCCAGACCTGCGGTTCCCTCAGCACTGCAAAAATAAAGAAGGAAGGAGGGAGGGAGGGAGGACTTTCACCCCACATTACAAAATAATTCAAGCCTGGTATTGTAGAAATCATTTATTTTTCATTCATTGAACTCCCTACTGTCAGAAGACAACTGATCAGCAGGTTTTCCCTTTTAGGGTTAGGCTGATGGCCTTTTACTATCCTTCTCTCCTGCGTGCTGTGTCCCCCAGCTCTCTGGCACCTTGGGGACCCTCAGTACTGCTCAGCAGTGGTCCCTTGAACCTCTGGCTATTGAGTTTCCATTTTGCAGCCGCTTCCCTTCCATTGGGCTCTGAGTTCAGCTTTTCAGTGTTCTTTAGAAAGGAGAAACTGATGGAATTTGCCGGTGGTGTTTTCAGATCAGGAAACTTAAAGGGCAGCTGGAGGGAAGACAGAAGAACAGCAGACCAGACCACCCATGGGCTGCAGAGGAGGTGCTGGAAAACGGGGCCGATGTGCACGTCCTGGACCTGCAGAGTGAGTGTCCTTCACTGGGGGTAGAGGGCGTGCTCCCCAGGGCTGTGCTGATGCTGACGCTGACGCCTGTGCAGAGGAGCCCCATGGTCCCTGGCAGCCCCCAAGCCCCGAGATGCAGAAGCTCAGAAGTGTTTCTTTGTGGGCAGCCAAGAGGGGCAGGAGGTAGGGCAAGGGCCTCCCAAGGTGCGCAAGTCCTGAGAGAAGCCTCCTGGCTCTGCTGGGTAGAGTGGGCTTTTGGTCTGCTGCTTATACGGACTGACAGAGAAGCTTTGTTTACTCCAATAAATGAGAAGCAGGCTCAGGGAAGGTGAGAGATGCCCGGTCTGCCCCGCCCAGCCCACCTCTTCTTTGTCCTCCTGGCTGGGCAGTGTCTCCACCTGGGGTCCCTGTCCTCACACACATGGCCACTGACTGTGCCCAGCCCTGGGCACCATGGGGCACAGCCAGAAGCCACAGGTTTGCGAGACAAGTATGAGGAAGGGCTCAGTCCGTGTGAGCTCTTGTAATGTTGTTTTCAAAGCCCAAGCGCAAACAAAAAAAAAGAGAAAATGAAGAAATGGAAATGAAGTGTTTATAAAGAGGGAGGTAGGAGGGGTGAAGGGAGGGCAGGGACAAGGGGAAAAAATGAGAACCAAGACCTGTCATGTAAAGGTACAAGATCCCAATGATGAATGTATATGTCTGTATTCCTAAAATGTACCAATAAACTAAAAAAAAAAAAGCCCAAGAGCATAACAGGTTTTCCTTCTCCCTTACCCTTCAGGAGATGCCAGCAGGCAGATCAGCGACCTCAAATTTAAACTCACCAAGTCTGAAACACCAATAAAAAAAAAAAAAAAGCCCAAGAGCATAACAGGTTTTCCTTCTCCCTTACCCTTCAGGAGATGCCAGCAGGCAGATCAGCGACCTCAAATTTAAACTCACCAAGTCTGAACAAGAGATAACTGCACTAGAACAAAATGTATGTGTGCACCTTCTAAAGCAATCCCGAGCGGCTGAACTGTGGGCAAACTGCAGTTCTGTTTGCTGGAAATAGCACCTCAAAGGCTGAGAACGAAAAGCAGCAGCAGAACCACCCTGGGTGGGTCAGTGGAAGCCCAAGTGGGGGCTCCACACGGAGGATGGGGGCAGAGAGCAGCGCAGTCCCTGCTGGGGTCAGGACAGGTCCCCCAGAGGGATGACTGCAGGCTCGCTTGGCTACGGGCCGCTCTCTCCGGAAGCGGTGTCATCACTCACACACTGTCTTCTCCCATCCTGCCGAGCCACGCCCGCGGCTCTCGAGTAGAATACAGCAGTTGGGGAAAGGAAGTGGGCCTATAATTCACTCTGCTGGTTTTTCCCTCCTTTTTAGGTAATAAGGTTAGAGAGCCAAGTGTCTCGTTATAAATCAGCCGCTGAAAATGCAGAAAAAATAGAAGATGAACTGAAGGCGGAAAAACGGAAACTCCAAAGAGAGGTAAACCTCCAGGCTGTTTCTGACCACCTGGTGGCCATAGCCTTAGAGGATTTACTTGGTGCAGTCCGCGTGGGGCTGGCGTCCTAACACCACCGCTCAGCCTTGGGGAGCCCGGGCCGGCCCCCGCGCCTCCCAGCCTTAGAGATGGTGCCTGTCTGCCTTCCTGACGACACTGGCAAGAGATGGGCTGGGGGTGCGGCGGCCGCAGCCGTGCTTCCTTTCCCTCTGGTCTGTGACACTTGGCTCTCCCACCGCCCATGTCCGGTCCTCCTCGCCTGTTTCTCCTGGCTTTGCTACACCCCTCCCTCGTATGTGTGCTGTCTTGTGTAGTAGCAGGAGAACTCTGGGCCCTACAAGGGACACGTCCCACCCGGAGGGCTTGCTTTGCTCCCGCTGAGATGGGAGCAGAGGTCTTTCTCCCCGACTCTGGCCGCACTCCTGGGGGTCTTGGAGGGGGAGCAGAGCCATGGACTGTGTGCCAAGCTTCCACGTCCGTGTGGCTGCGGGGCCCCTCCCTGGCACACCTGTCCCCTCCCCTGCTGGTCCAGGGACTCCAGCCCACGTGGCCTCTGCCTGGCCCCTGCTCTGTGACCAGTGTGACCCTGGCCTTCCTGCCTCAGCCTCAGCTCCTCCATTTGCCTTTATTTGCCTCCCTTTCCTAGTGTGGACCTTCAGGGTCCCCAAGAGTGCACCACATCTGGGCTCTAGCTATCTCCAAGGAGGAAGGTTCCTGCTCCTTGTGATGCCAGAACCAGGGGCCTGTGGTGCTTTTTAAATTAAGAAATATGCACAGTGTACGTGGCTCTAGGGTTCCAGTGTGCCTTAGCTGTGGTCGCAGTAGTCAGAGGGACAGGATCTTGGTGGCACAGACCCCACGATATTTCAGGGGAGCCCATCCCTCCCCCTCATGGCCTCTCCTCCTCATTTCCAGCTTCGCTCAGCACTGGATAAAACCGAAGAGCTTGAGGTGAGCAACGGCCACTTGGTGAAGCGTCTAGAGAAGATGAAGGCCAACCGCAGCGCACTCTTGTCCCAGCAGTAGGCCGCCGGCTGGCACTGGGCAGTCCTCTGCAGGATCCAGGCAGGGTGCAGCTTGGGGCCCTCAGGTGCCTGTGTCTGCAGCCCCTGCCCGCCCAGGCTGGGCCATCTTGCACAACCCGCAGGCTCCTCCGCGAGCACAGGGCTCCCAATCCTGACACAGCCCAGGGATCAGAGCCGAGCCTTTCCCTGGGCTTGCTGAAGTCGGGAAGGTCACCGCGGCAGGACCCCCTTCTGTGGCAGAGCCTGCAACTCGAGCGACTTCAGTAGTCTCTTAGTCTGCGCTTTTCCTACACGAAACACTGTGGAACCACAAGCCATTACGAGCAGAACTCTCACTGGAAACAAGGGGACGGTCCAGACGTCAAAGTGACCTTAAGAAGACTCTTACAGGCAGCAAATGAAGCTTTGCCAAGGGTCTTTGCAGCAGATGAGTCACATTACTTTTTTCCAGGGTAATTAGGCAGTAGCTTCACTGAAAAATGACAGCTTTTCATTTGCATTATTTAATCCTTGTATTTGGAATTAAAGTTGTTAACTTCTTTTAAAGAACGTATTATTAGGAAAATAAAAATGAAATGGTGAAAGACTTGAACAGTGCGGTTTTTCATTTTTTCCCAATGAGAAAGATCTTTTACTGATGTTATATTTGTAGCTGCTGGGTAGTTAAGGTCATCGTGTTTTTTAAGCATGTCAGATCAACTTTTTTTTTTCTTCCCCTGTCCAGAAGAGAAGGTGGTTCACAGAATCAGCGCACCTGGGATAACCCTAGACAGAAGGTGCAGGCGACCGCAGCAGTCGATGCCTGCTTACCCTGTATGTGTCACGTTTCTCCTGCAGCTGGCTGAGCGAGCACAAAGACAACCTTCCAGAATTGACTGTGCCTCGAGTGAACCGTGGGGTGCTGGCACGGGGGCGCGTGGGTAGTGGGCACAGAAGCAGGAAACTCTCCCAAGGGGGTACTGGGGTCGCCAGGATCCATCCCCAGCGCTGTGCGGCCAGAGCGTACAAGGCTGAGTTTCACTGGGACCAGTCGTGTGTCTCCTGGTGAGGAGAATATTTGCTGATGCCCACTGAGGTCAGACCACAGGTAAGGAGGACCCATGGGGCAGAGCGGGCAAGCAGAATTTCCTGGAGTGGACACTGAGCAACCTGCTTTGCCCATCAGCAGGAAGGAGGCGCAGCCACATCTAAATGCAAACATTTTCATTGTGCCTTGTTTTTTTGAGACAGTCTGCTATGTAGTTCTTGTTGGCCTAGAACTTATTATGTAGCCCAGGCTGACCTACCTGTGGCAATCCTCCTGTCTCAGCCTCCCGAGTGCTGGGATTACAGACATGCGCTACCACGCCTGGCTAGAAAACAAACAGGTAAACAGTAAAATTTCTTTATCATTGGCAAATAGTGCTCATAGCAAGCACTTATATGGCACTTAGATGTGTATCGAATGCTTTACCTGTCCTCATTCATTTAATAACCACAAAAAACAAACAAGGTCGATGGTATTACTAAATCCAAGCAAGAAAACTCCAGGCCTGGGAGGTGAACTGACCCGAAATCTCACAGCTGGTAGCAGAGCTGTGAAGTACTGATTCGCCATCGGGGAGAAGGTGTTCCCCACATCAGGGACACCATCGAAGTCAAACCCTGACCTTCTAGCGCTCTCAGTGACACACGGCCTCCTGCAGCATGCGTGCCGTAGGTTCTCCACCACTGCCTTGCACCGACCCTTAAAGAGCTCACAGTCACCGCCACACACCCTTCCTGACCCGGACGAAGCTAGAGCATGATCATCAGCTCCATCCCAGAGTAAAACTCCTGCAGCGGGGGATTGTCACCGTTCACTCCATCCCCGTCACGCACTCAGCACGGCATCCTGAGCAGGACCCTCCTCGGTCCCAGACAGGCATCCCGAGTGCCATGAGACATGTGGCGTCCTGGGACCCAGGCCTTGGCACCCTCTCGCCATGCTGCCTTCTCCACCCTGAGTGGCAGGACTCGGAGGAGATGGCGGAAACCCAGACCGAGAACACGCATGCATTTGCTATAGACCAGAAATGAAGCAGCATTCGGGACACAGCGAGCCGCTCCAGAGACCCTGGAAGTGGTCGATGGCTTTCAGACTCGTTTGGGACTGTGACGAGATGGCTGCTTTCTCTTGTGTGTAACTTAAAATGCTGATGAAAGAAGCCATAGGTACGCTGGTGTTTTCTAAATTTCATTATTTCTCAGACAGGGGTTTCCGGGTGCTACGGTGCTGAGGCTGGGGGGACACAAAAGAACAGGAATCGGGGGCTGGCTCTCAAGGGACAGAAGGGCCAGAGCAGAAGCCGGGGTGGGGAAGCTAGGTGGAACCAGACAGGTTCCAGTTTCCACCCGGTCACAGGCATCTGCTGTCACTAAACGCGCCCCTCCCAGGTGGCCCACAGGTTCACCTACGGCTTGTGGGTGACAGGGCTGGCGCTGCTGGGCTGCCTGACCCTGGGCCAAGGCTGCGGGGACTCAGGGTCTGGGGCTCTGCCCAAGCTCCCGCAGCCCCTGGAGGATCTGTGCCTGCTGCCCCACCTCATGACACCACTACCTGTCCCTTCATTGTGTCCCCCAGGGCACGGCCCCTGGCAGCTAACATCTATTTGTATTGTCTGTGTGTGTGTTTCTGTGATTTTATTGAGAATAACTGCAAGTACATGTAATCCTGATAGCCTGGGAAGCTGAAGCAGGAGGATCTAAAGTTCAAGCCCAGCCTGGGCAACTGAGCAGCTTAGCTGGAACCTGTCTCAAAATTTAGAAAATAGAAAAAGGGCTGGATGTAGCTCAGCACACAAGCCCTGGGTTCAATCCCCAATAGTGGAAAAAAAATAACTGCAGATTTTCTGGAAGACTGCCTCTCTGGAGTTTATTAAAATTTACTAAATAATATCAAGCACTGTCAAGCACTAAGGATGAAACAGTTCTATTCCAGCAAGGTGTAGTAGCACACACCTGTAATCCAGCACTTGGGAGGCTGAGGCAGGAGAAGCATTGAGAATCTGAGGGCAGCCTGTGCATAGGAAAACCCTGTCTCAACAAAAAACAAAACAAGAACAAATAAATAGTTCTGTTCCAGTGAAGAGAGCAAACAGCCCCTACATAGCAAGTAGGATTTCAGATAATGGGTCAGGGATTTAGCTCAGTGGTGCCGCTTCCTTCCTAGCAAGCGCAAGTTCCTGAGTTCGATCCAAAAAACAAAGATTTCAGATAATGAATGGTGCTATGGAAACAAAACAAAACAAAACCCTGCCTGGGCATGGTGGTGCAAGCTGTAATCCTAGCACTTAGGAGACTGAGGCAGGAGGATCTCTTTGAGTTCGAGGCCAGCTCAGGCTACATAGGGCCAGCCTGAACTACATAGTGAGACTCTGTCTCAAAAAACTAAAAAAAAGGAACCAGAAGTACGGGAGAGAAGAAGTTGCTAGTGTGTGCTTGGCCAGAAGAGTGCAGGGTGGTGAGGTAGCTGCTCAGTGGTCTCATCAGAGGAAGTATCACAGAGACATTTGCACTGAACCCTGAGAGTGAAAGGCCTGGCCTGGCCATCTGAGTGTCTGCAGCAGCACTGTCCGATAGAAACATGATAGGAGCCACATATGTAATGAAAATTTTTCTAGTAGCTTGTGCTGGGTTAACTAGTGGTTAACCCACTGGGCATGCCCAGCTGAACGGAGTCAGCGAGGTGAGGTGTGGGAGACCCGCCTGAGGATTGTTGCCAGTGGCATAAAAAGAGACCTGGAGGGGAGGATCATGTGCTGCTGATTTTCTAGGAGAAGCTTGCGGTGGATGGTTTTCCTGATGCAAACTCAGCTGTTCTCCCCGAGGAGGGGCCCAGGGCCTCACTGTCACTGGCAAGGCTGCTGTTCTTATCAGGGGCACTCTGGTCTTCACCTTGAGCATCACTTCTGGCTGCCGTGCAGACCCCTCAGCCTGGTGGCACAGATCCTTCACCCCACGGCACAGGTTTCCTGGCTCCCAACCTGGTCTTGGGCCTCCCTGGTGCAGATCTGCCACACGGACTTGCAGGAGACATGGCCCTGGGCTCCGGGCCCCCAGCTGGACTCGTGCAGGACACTGCCATGGGACCCACCCCTCGGCTGGATTCTTCTGGTCCCCAGTATGCGGACAGATCTCTAGTACTCCTCTGCATTTGACTTTTTGGGTGAATATTATAAAACAATTCTGTAAATTATGTGCCCTTGCAAGCCCTGACTACAGCATAGGTACACTTAAAAAAATTACCAGCTAGAGTTCATTTTAACATTTTGTTTAACTCAGAATACCCAAATAGGGCCGGGGATTTAGCTCAGCAGTTCGATGGCCTGCCTTGCAAGCGCAAGGACCCGAGTTCAATCCCCAGTACCAACAAAAAAGAAAGAATACCCAAATAACCATTTCATCAAGTAATAAACATTGAAAATTGTTAATGAGACATTTTACATTATAGCAAACTTTCAAAGCCAGTATAATATTTTATATTCACAGCACATTTCAATGTGGATGCTGTTTTTACTACAAATAAGTAACCCGTGTTTAGATTTGATAATTTCAGTTGAAAACATTGATTCACATATATGTACTGTCCCAAACACATTCACGAGTTTACCAATACTAAATTAAATACCAAAAACGTAACTTTCCTTCAGTAATGGTACCCATGTTGATGAAAAAAAAATTGGTTCCTTTTTTTCAGAAGAATTGATCTGACTTTAAAGCAAAAGCTTAACATTTTCAGAATGACATCCAAACAGTTGTCAGACGTGGTGGCACACGCCTGTAATCCCAGCACTCAGGCTGAGGCAGGAGGATCGCTGTGAGTCACACACACCCACAGTAAGTAAATTCATGTGCCAACTCAGGATTACTAACATCAGATTCCAAAAGATGGCATGAACTGAAAAGCAGGTCTCTCAGTCACTGTCACTGAAGTATTCTTCAAATCTTTCCTGTAGACTTTTGCAACTAATTCCCATAATTAATGATTATAATTAAAATCCTGCACATACTGACTTCTCTGTTTAAAAATCACCATGGTTCTCTGTGATTGGAAAGTCTCCCTATCCACACCACCTACAGCTGGCTTCTTGGATCTTCCAGCTCAGCTCGTTCGTATAGAGCCGCAGGAGAAAACATCAGCCACACAGCCAGTGTTTTCCCGAGGTCACTGAATGTTCAGCGAGCCCTCCTACTTTAGGAGGATCTTGATGTGAACAGAAACAAATTCTTTGTAAAACTCTCTTGTGACTCAATGGATGAACACTGGCAATGAACACGAGACCACTAAACTCTTCTCATGCTTCATGAGCTGGTGATCCGTAGCATCTGCGTGTGTCCTGAGGATTTTACGGCCGCATCTGTGACTCTAGATGGCTTTGGAAAACAGCACATCTATTTTCAATGTGTGTCACTGTCGCGAGCCACGACGTCAGGATCCTGCCAGCAGGTCCTAAACCTGAAAGGACGAGGACAGAGAGACGGGAGGCACTTTTCTTCTCATGTTCCTTGCTTTATTTATTACAGAACCTCTTCCTTTTATACTCTCCCGGGAGCGAGAGTA